AGAGCAACAGCTTCTTTTTGGCAGGCTACTTTTTTGGTGTTGAACGAAGGAGTGTGGAAGAATTTGATTGACAGATCAAGCTAAACTAATCCAGAGGAAGTTGACTATTAAACATCAGAGGTGACAACATGTCCTGGTTGTCTCCAGTCCAGTGGGCCAAATGGACGTGGTCAGCGGTGACTGGAGGTGCAGGGGATGATGGGCAGCCCAGATGGGAAGATGGCAGAGGGAACAAGTAAGAGGGCTTGGCCATAGATGTTTCTGTGTGTGTGTGTGAGAGTGAATCTGGTTTACAAGTGGATCTGTGTAAGATATAAAATTTAAAAGATAGCTTTTTGATACTATTTGGACTCATGTATTGTAGATTGCATGTGTGTGTTTGTGGCTTTGTGTAATGACTTCTCCTGAGTCATACTCATAGATGGTGGTTATATACACTCATAGAAAGCAACATGCACACAGACAAGATGATTGATGTGCTCGGACTATGGTGTGTGCTCGGACTATGGATTGAAGTATGATGTGAAATATAATGCAGAAAAGAGTGTTGTACTGATCTGTCGGACTAAAGGGGACAAGGAACTTTGTTTCCCAGACTTTTGTTTGTCTGGACAAAGGTTGAGTGTCTGTAGAAAAACTAAATATTTAGGACATTTCATTACAGATCAGCTTTCTGATGATGAGGATATATATCGGCAGTGTCGCATTTTGTATGCTCAAGCTAATATGTTGGTTAGGAAATTTCACATGTGTTCTGCTAATGTTAAAGTTCATCTGTTCAGAACATACTGTACACCGTTGTATACTGCCCCATTGTGGTGTAAATATAAGGTAGCTACTTTACAGAAACTTAAAGTTGCTTATAATGATGCCTTGAGGATTCTGCTTAAGAAGCCTAGGTCCACCAGCGCCAGTCTGTTGTGTTCACAGGTCCATGTTTTTTTTATTTTTTTCTTCTTTTATATCCTTTCTTTTTCTTTTATTTCTTTTTGTATGGACCTTGAGTCTGCTAATAAAGGATGATGATGATGATGATGATGATTGATGTTCTGGTATAATCTCAGTTTTTTCTTTCACTGTGGATCCCAGTGGCTGTGTCAGGTGGCCATCATCGGCTAAAAACAGATTCTTAGTCAAAATACAGACACGCAAACTACTGGTTTGTGAGTCTGCTTTGTGTGCACCATCCTGTTTCTTTTGTAGACTCCAAACACTGAGGGACCCGACTATCTAGGCCTGTTTTTATGTCTCTGAATGTGTGTGCGAAGGCTGGAGAACAGTTGCTGAAAGTTGGGGGAAGGGAACGAAAACCATAGTTACCAATGGTTTGTTTTTGTTTTTTTTTCTGTCCATTTTTAGTCTCTAAATAATCACCCAAGCACTTGGGGCCATCACTGGGACATGATTCAATGTGTGATTGTATGTGCAGTTGGCAGGGGGAGGATGGCTCCAGTGTGTGTGTGGATGTATTTGTGTGAACTGGTAGAGATGGAAGGTGTTTGGGTATTGGCACTGAAAGTTTTGTTACTTCTTTTGCTGCTTTTCATTATACTGTGAACATTTTTATGTGTGTTCAAGTGGTTGGAAGAAAGTGCACACACACAATTAACCTCACACTCTGTCTGTCTCTCCCTTGCTTTTGGTCTCTCCACTGTTTAGAAATAAATTTGGGCTGGTTGTCTAGGCAGCTGACACAGCAGACCAAAAGATTGTGTGTGTGTGTGTGTGTGAATGAGTGTTGTGGAACACAGTGTATCCTTACTGAGGGGCAAAGGATGCAGGTGGCCTTGTAGGGCTTCACTTCCTCTCCTCTCCCTTCCTCTGAGCTCATTTAAAATAAAAGCAGCTTCTTTGTTTTGAGCTGCTCTGAGTTCTGAAATCTATTGTTTTCATGTCACTTGAAGAAAACAGAAGATTGATATTGGAAAGTTAGTGCTTTAACACTGCAGCACACAGTCTGAGCTTTCATTGTTATATAAATGTAATTTAGCAGCTGTTCGTACCATTTATATGCTGTTATTTAGACTGAAGTACTGACACAGTACTTCTCTAAATTAGGTGATGTGATTTGTTTTTATCAGTTCATGAGAAGAGCTCTCACTGTTTTGTCACTAATATTTTTTTTCAGTTTCAGCACTTTTTCAAAGCAAGTACCTTCATTCAAGCTGCAGATTTCATCTTAAGTTCCAGATAATAAGTCAAATACTCATGTTCAGTTGTAGCTTTGGCCTCTTTCGTGTCTTTCTCTTGTCTCTTTTGGTAAATGATGCTTGGTTAAGGTCTTCCTCTCTCTTCTTCTCCACAGTTCAGACTCAGAGGGGAGCTTTGAAACTCCAGAGGCAGAGTCCCCCGGTGTTGTGAAGCTGCCAAGCCAACTGGACAATTCCAGCCACATAGGTGAGAAAGCTCGGCTGTTTAGATTACCATGGTAATGTTAAGTAGCACATATACCAAGTGCTCTTATACCGGTTGAACTCACACACCTAAATTGTGATACTGGATATTCTCAGGTAGGTCTGGGTATCAAGCCTCAATACTTGATTAGTACTAACAGAAATTTGCTCATAGCACAGTGGAGTACCAGTCAAAGAAGTCAGTCTAGTCAGAGTGATAATCTGTGTTTAATTCTAGAATAAATCCAAATTTTTGCTGTATTTTATTTAGGCAAAGTATTCACGTGACTGTTAGTCATTAAAGAGTAACTTAACACAAGGCTGAAAAGGTGTGTGTTGCTCTCAGGTTAAACATTTTGAGCCTGTGTCACATCTGTCCACAGCAGCATCACTGGAGGTTGTTTGTTTTGTTACACCTGTAATCACACATGATGTGCCGGAGTACACCTGTACATCACTGCAGCGAAGTGTCCTCATAGTCAGGTTCAGAAGAAAAAACATTACCAGTGCTGAAGCTCAGGTAGCATGTCAGCATTAGTATTAACCATTTTCAGACAAATCACAGCCTGATACTTTAATAAAGTAGGTGTGAAAATATCCACTGACTGCTTCCAGCAGCAATAAAAAGGTTCCTCACTTACATCCAGTCATATCTAATCATAAAGATAGTTTTAATTTTAGTTGCCCAGTTTTTGACATATTTGCCTTTAAGATCAAGGTTTGAGTTTTTTATTTTTATTTTTCAGTTTTTTATTTTCAATAGTACTTATTGCAGCAGTATCATTGAAACCGAAATGGAAATCACGTTCTGACAGTGAAATGTTATTTTGTGCGCCTCCATTGGAACATTATGTTGTTGTGCACACATGCTTTCTACAGATCTCAGATCAGCGTCCTGTCATCTACCACTCTGTGTGTGTGAAAGCTTATTATGAATGTAAATGAGCTCTCTCCTATTAGACACAGGCTTGTAAATCAAATGGGTGGTAGATGAATCCTGCCTCCTCACTCTCCTTTCCCCTGGCTGTCCTACTTTCACCCACACAGTCATTAGTGCTACGCATTAACATGGTAATTTCGAGTGCTTCCTGTGCGCTGATACAAACGCTACTAAATATTTGCAAACGCAGTTTCTCCATCACCTTTATTAAAAGCAAGTGATATTCACATCGACTGTATGTGTATTAGGATATAAATTGTCTGGAGCTACTTGAAATGAGATCACAGCATATGAGGTGATGTGCCAGATAATAACAGAGGGATGAATGTGTTTATTGTTGACTCTCTTTGGCAGACAATAACACACTCATATTTCATGCTGAAACAGTCACTTTCTCAGTACAAAATCTGGGTTAATTTCATAAATAAAAGATAGACTGTGTGGATAAATTGGTTCCCTGTAATTACACTCAAAATGTTCAGTGGGCAGATGCTGTGTGTTCATGGGAGCAGCCACATGCCACAGTCTAACTGCACAGTATGTACTGAACCAGGATGAAACTGTCGATAGCAACGTGTCTACCTACTGCATGTACTGTGTCTCTCACTAACTCGCTTCATCCTCTGTCTGTTTTCTCTTTCTCTCTCTTTTTTGTTAAGTTGTGAAACTGTAATATAGCATGATGTTGTTTTTATTGCTAGGCCACATGGTGGTGTGTACTCTGCATGACTGGGTGTGGTTCCTCTACATCTGTTTCATGTACCCAAAGGGTGTGTGTGCAGTGTGTGCCTGAAAATACCCAGGGTTTGAACAGAAGCTTAGCTAAACTTACATCACTTGACTGTATGATGCAATAAGTCACAATTTGGTCATGACAAACAATGTGAGAAGCTGTTACCCACCCAGGGTGAAACCACAATGACTCTATTCATGTTGTGTGCATATTGAAATGAATACCAGAGAGATTTTGTTCCTTTATTATCATGTGTAGTTGTAGGAATTTTACATTGTGTGTGGGTGAAATCTGAAGCAGCAGTGTGACTCAGCAGAAACCATCTTGTCCCTGTGGTCATGAGCTAGTTGTTAACAAGATGTGTGAGGAGGGGGAGAGGAAGCCAGCAACCATTTTACATGTTCTAACGGGAGAAGGAGTAGCCATCATAAGGTTAAATCACTGAAAGAAGATAAACTCATTAGGCATCCACAGGATGGGGATGATATTCAGTTATGTATGTTTAATGCTGCTGTCATCTTAAAGTGGCTATAATCGATACTTTTATTTAAATAAATGACTGTGTGGAATGTAGCTCATAATGATGAACCTATGGGAAATTGTCAGCTGAATCTACAGATCCCTTCAGTCTAATTGAGCTTGATAGAGAGTTTCAGCTCAGTTTTTAGCTTTCCAGCCTGCATCTTTATTGTTGTGGTCCACTCTCATTGCTCTTGGCAGCAACAGGCAAATGTTTTCACCAAAAAAGTTGGTGAACATAGTGGAGCATTGAGCAGCTACAGAGCCAGATCCTTCCCTCAGGGGTTGGTAGAGACCAAAGCAGAGATAAAGCGAGTGGACATGTGATTCATCAGGTGACCAGAAACATGACTCCAAAAGAAAAATGATGTTGCTTCATATCTGGTTGATGTTTAAATAAGCAACTATTTGCTAATAGGTTTGCCATATTAATGCAAAGGTGATAATATGTCAGTGTATTTCACAACTAATAAAAAAAAATCTGCTCTTAGTTTTTATTTATTGTTTTAAGGAAAAACATTTACCAGGTTCAAAAGTTTAACAGCAGAGAAAGTCTTTTAAAATAGCACTTAAATTGCATGAAACTTGATACCCCATATTTTTACCCCAGCTGGCTTTATCCCCAAGTTACTGAGACATTTTGCTTTTGTTCCCTCTTCTGTTAAAGTTTCCATCCCAGTGTGTCACTGTGGACCAGGCACTAACTTTTTACCAGCATGCTAGCAACTGTCTGATCTGTTCTGGACTTTTCCAGATGTAAAACCTGTACACACAGTATCTCAAGTTGAGACCTGTTCTGGACTTTTCCAGATGTAAAACTTGTACACACAGTGTCTCAAGTTGAGACGGAAATACGTTACTCTTTTTTTTTTTCATCCTGTCTCAACTGCTATATAGGAACTCCCTGTTTAGCTGCTTTAGCAAAACATCCCTGTATTGTTTACAACTGCTCCAAAGGTCTGCTGCTAAGCTATTGATGAGGTGCTCTGAAAGGGCTTATATGCCTTAATTTCTTTACACTGGCCTCAAATTCAGAATTCAGTCAAGTCAAGATCTTCATTATACTCTTCTTAACTTTTTTCTCTTCTCTTTTTACAGTTCTTCCTGATGTTACACGCCACTTTGTGGACAAAAACTCCGATCAGGATGTTGTTACAGGTTTATCTCAGGAGGTGGACTCCCTGAACAACCCTACCATCTCCTTGGATAACAACAGGACCTTTGGTTTGGATCAGAACCTTAATTTGACCCTAAGCCCCAATTCCAGTCCAGGAGAAGGCCTCGCCCTGTCCTCTTCTCTGCCCCAGCCTCAAGTTCTCCGGCCACCATCACTGTCTGTCATCTCCCCGTTGAACAAACCTGATCCTACGGAGGTCGACGACGAGGCGCTGCTGACATCCGACTCCAGCCCAGACTCAAACTTGATCCCCAGTCATGACATTTGTGTGGACCCTGATTTACTCAATGGCAACATGAACTCTGATACTGTGCTGTCAAATACAAAACTGCCCTGTGAGACCAACAACACGATTATCACGTGAGTAGAACATCTTAGACACCCAAGCACAAAGACCAGTCTACTCCAGTCATCAATTATAATCAGTGGCTACATTTACTGAACTAATATGACCCACACATTTTCAAGCTGAACAAACACTGTTCTCTTTTATGTCTGTAGGGAACAGTGATGAATGTTCGCTGTTGTGTACAATGAACCTGAAGTGATAAGTTGTCAGCTGTTGTTTCTCTACCACAACCATTCACCCCTCCATCTCCCACCAGAGTTATTATAGTTTTTGATATTTTTGTTGCTTTTAGTGTTATTTTTATTTCAGAATTTGAGCACACATTCACTTTTAGCTGAGTTTTTAGCTAAGGTTTGTTTGTAATTAACTTGCATTTTTCCACAGATGTCGATTTATGCCAAATTGCAGTGATTGTAGATTTGTATGAGGCATTTTTAATGAGTGCTTTGCTTTTGCCAACAGAGACTGACTTTTGAAACGTAAAGAGAAGTCAAAGTATCGCACAATGTCCTGTTGTGGTTTGTTACTGTCATGGTTCTGCTAAACCTAACCCCAACCCTATTCCAGTATTTTCACATTCAATATCAGTCTTAAGATAAAGGTCAGTTTTGTTATACAGTTTATGTTTTTGGTAGTTGCCGTTCTATTGCAAAGGCTTTATCCTACTAGATATTTTGGTGTAGGACGTTTCACTTTCCAAGGACCGGGCCGTCGGGGCCCCTGCCTTCGACTGCTGCCCAATCCACTATGCACCGGCCCCTTACGGATCCTCCTGCAGGTGGTGGGCCCACAGGAGGACGTCCCCACGTCACTCGTTCGGGCTAAGCCCGGCCGGGCCCCGTGGGGGGAGGCC